CGTCTTCGATCCCCATGCGTTGCTATCTTGAAGTACGACGGGCGGCCGAGGAGATTGTGCTTCTGGTTCAAGAACTTAAAGATCCTCAGCTTGGCGACTACTGGCTCCCGCTTCTCACCTTTGCATTCACGTCCACCACCAAGTTCCTCCTCCGCTGCGCTTTAGAAACAGAGAACACCGTCAGCGGACTGGCGCAAAGTATGTCGCTGAAGCTGGCACGCGATCTCATCAATGCGCTACAAATTCATCGCCAAAAAGCCTGGGACGTGGGAGACTTGTGCATTGCGCAGTATTCCGAGGTCATTGAGAAGCTAGCTACGTCCACATCGAGCGCAGAATTCTCCGAGCAGCCAGTCGATATGCCCGAGCTTCAAGAGTTCGTGTCGACAAGCGTGCCTGACATTGATGAGCTCTTCCCTAGTCTATGGGATATGTTTGGCCAGTAATAGATGATCGGGTGATCTTCAATGGCAGTCTGCTGCGTCGCCAGACCCCATATTGGCAATGCCGACTTCCGGACGGAAATAATGCGGACGGACTAATCCGACGGACTACTCCGTCCACAACTTCACATCATCAACACCTAACACTGGCAAGAGCCCCAATCCCATTGTACATCAACTTCAGCATATCAAATACCGCGCTGAGAGAGGCGACCCAGTACTTTGAATGATGAACGCGGTTGGCAGGCCCTTGAGAGTTAGATTTCCAACCAGGATCGCGACTCATTTACCCCGCACCCTCAACGCCAACTCTCGTAGGCTGTTTGCCATCACCTCACCCCGGAACTCATCGATAGACTCACATGACATGGAGTCGAAAAGAGTCGCTGTGCTCTACCAAGCCATAGATCCTCCTATCATCAATGGGGTGCGCAAGCCGATGAAGCCTGGTGGTCAGTCTTATCTCGTAAACATGCTTGCCCCAACTTCAACTAACAGATCTTAGGATACCGCGACTCAGGAGCCGATATCGCCTTCAACCTCCAAGGCAGCAAGTCTTTAATTGCGGTTACTCCAGTTTCGACGCCCTCGCCAGAGAAAGATACCGAGTGGTGCTTTCCGGATACCGAAGAGGGGATTCTAGACGCCATCAAGAAGGGCGCAACTCATCTCTGGGCCAACACAATCTTATTCGCATCTCACCCACTACAAACTTCCACGTCCCTCGGGAGTGTCCAGGATACACTCAAAGCGGTCGGGCATGGGCCTCTTGTTGTTGAAAAGTACGATGACAAGGAATATGTGAATGATTTGCTTCGCCGGATCGGTGGCTTTACGATGCCTCGCTCGTGGACAATCCACTCCGACCCAGCAGTAGCAATAAAGATTGAGCAGCTCCAATTGCCGTTCCCGATCGTCGCAAAACCCATTCGCGGACGGGGAAGTCACGGCGTTCGAGTCTGCCAAAATCTCGAGGATCTCACTGCCCACACCAAAGTCCTCTTCCAAGAGTCGCCGAGCATCATGCTGGAGGAATACCTCTCTGGCGAAGAAGCCACCATAACCGTGATGCCGCCGAATGGGGAGAAAAAAGACTACTGGTCCTTGCCCATCGTCACACGCTTCAATCATCAAGACGGGATTGCTCCCTACAACGGCGTGGTAGCGGTCACTGCCAACTCGAGAGTGATAACGGCAAAGGAGGAGGAGGAGGACCCTGCGTATGGACGGATCGCGAGGGAGTGTGAGGCAGCAGCGAGGGCACTGGGCGTCGCAGCCCCCATTCGTATCGATGTGCGGCGATTTTCTGAGAGGCCTGGATCCGACTTTGCTCTATTCGACGTAAACATGAAGCCGGTAAGCTTGTCTCTGCGATTATGCATGTCATTCGAAAGACTTTTAACAAGCCATCAATGTAGAACATGACCGGCCCTGGACGGCCTGGGCGGGATGACCAGGCGAGTCTGACGCTTCTGGCAGCTGAGGCGCTGGGGTGGGACTACCCAGAGCTGTTGAGGCAGGTGTTGAGCACATCCTCGGCCTTGAAGACACTGAGGGGATTGAAGCCAAGAGAAAATTAAGAAAATGACGAGGTCTTCTGTAATGGGACACCTAGCGGGTCAAGTAGCTATTCTGTAGGCATCAAATAGAAAAAGAGAAAGAGAGACCACCAGAGGTATCATCGTGACTTCTTTCAAGGACTTCACCACGGGGCCTCAAAAGCGTTAGGATGGGGGAGATGAACATAGAAAGCCGTCACAGGTGACAGAACGTCACAAAGTCACAAAGAGAAGGGGCAGGATGATTGTTTTCAATGCCAGTGTATTCTTTGTCACACCTGATACGCAGCCTTTGCTGCTGATATCAACGAGCAGCCTGTAGCTGCCAATGACGAATGAGACCCTGATACTCGTCGAAGCTTAATCACAATGAAGAATGAATGACCCATTGACCTGAACCCTCCTTGATGCCTGTTCCCAAACCCAGTCCGTCTTGAATCCCAAGTGTTCCCATGAATGAAAATGAATCCTCCACAAGTATGCCCAAAATCCACCGATCCAGGTTCCTTCCCAAACTTCTCAAGATGCTGAGATCACATGAGTGTAGAGGTGTCATGAGACCTAAGCTGAGGCCGTAACGAAGACAGTCTGAGTCTCAGTGATGACGGGCTCGACAGTGGTGGCACGAGTAACAATCGGGGCGCCGATGATGCTATACTCAGTGGACGAGGTGGCAAGAGGAGTCGAGGTAGAAGCAGCGGCGATCATCTCGGGATCCTCGCTGAAGGTAGTGAGGAAGAAGCTGGGCTCCGAAGTGGTAGGAGTAGCGAAGGGAGTGTAGTCGGGAGCGGTCGAGGGCATCGCAGGATCCTCGCTGAAGGTAGTGAGGAAGAAGGAGGGGGTAGTGGGGGTAGGACCAGAGAAGGGAGTGTAGATGAAGGTGGCAGTGCCAGGGGGACGAGGGTAGTTATCCACACCAGCGGTGCAGATGTAGGGCTTGGAGCCATCAGTTCTAGTCGCGGTGACGCACCAGCTGGAGACGCGCTCGTGGATCTCCATGGTGGTAGACTGCTCGACAGGAGCAGCGGTGGCAATCTCGATGGAGAGAGCGGAGGTAATGTGAGGAGCGGTGACAATGGGAGCGTTGACCTGCTCGAGAGTGGTCTTGGTTCCAATGTCCATGTTGAGAGTCGTCTTCATGGGAGCACACATCTCCATGATGCCAGTGAGTCTAAGAGCGGGCTCGCTGATCGGGAAAGTGGTGCACTTGTTGACCTCAGTAGCCATGGGCTGCTTGTAGTCGGCCATGGTGGTGGTCTGGTGAACGACCAAGGCCTCGGAGCTGATGCTCATGATGGGCTTGGAAGCGTTGAAGCCAAGATCCTTGCGGATGTTGTGCTTGAAGCCAGCGATGCCAGCCTGAGCGGGAATCTGAGCGCCAAGGCCGTTGACAGCAGCCTGGTTGTCCAGAACGGGCATACCGTTGACGGCAGCACCGATGATGGCGCCAGCGGCGGTGATGGCAACGTAGGACTGGAAGCGGAATAATTGTGAGTTTTCAGAACGCCAATATTTTTTTGGGGGGAGGGGGGGATACGAGGCACGGGAAGAAGCGGAAATAGATCACAAACGAACCTTCATCGTGACTGAGATGAGTGAAGAATTGGAATTCTTGGTTGGTGATGATTTGTTGGTTGGAAGTGATGGATTGCTTTGTTGTTTGCTTGTGAATGTGAGTGTGAAAGTTGTTTGTGAAGAAGAAAGTGTGTGGTTTGTGTGAGAAAAAGAGAAGAAAGTGGGAGTGTGAGGGTGAGCGAAAAAGGACTGAGTGGAAGAGGTGGGCGGTCGAAAGGCAGTGGGTGGGCAGGGCAAGAGATTTTCCGTGGGTAGGGCTAGCTTTTGTGATCCTTTCTATTCAGGCAAGAAGAAGAAAGAAAAAATGAGGCAGGAGCGATCTGAAGTATGTGAGTCGGTGGTGAGATGGAATACGCATCGAGGGGTCGAGAAGGTGAGGTTATTCAGGGGCACACGTGACTGGGTGGAATATTGGGGGTGAGGCTGGCAACCACCTCTGAATGGCCTCACAAAGCACGCTAGCCTTGCCATCATATTAGTCACTAATTAATGAGAACCTGTGGTTGGTCTATTGTTCGATATATCACATGTGTCCTCAAACAAGGCCATGTGAGTAAAGTATCACCACCGCCCCTCGCCCTCCACCTGCCTCAAATTGATCTCTCGCTTATCTGGCATTGGTAGATCTTTTCTGATGCGTCTGGGGATCTCTCAGGATGTTTACTCATTTTATCAAGAGTAAAGCGCTGTAGCTTTGCTCTTGCCTGGCTGACAAGCGCCCAGGTCGGACTGTCTAAACAAGGCTGCCTCAATAGGTCAACCATGGGGCGAGGAGAGGGCCACGGGAACATCACAGAGGAATTACGTAGTGAACAAGATCCAAAAGCTCGAGTAACTAGTTCTTGAGACTTGTGCTTCCTTCTCTAATTCGTGATTTACGTATAGACATGTCCAGTTGTAGTTGCGGGTTGGTCGTACTTGAGTCTCATGCCATGAGGCAAAGTAAGGTAGTTGCTGAGCAACACGAGCTAAGGTACCATCATCAACACCACAGACATGGCTTACAGCTGACGGAAGTACCTCAACTCCAACCAGGTGCTCTTTGACCTTGACTGAGGCGTAGAAATAAGACTATCCGTATATCCCGAAATTATTCCGAGCCGGTGGCCTTCGGCCCGAGAACGACGCCGCTAACAACCTCTCAATCCGCAAAGCCTGGGGTGGCGACAATTCTTTATTTCGAATGGGAAGGAGCATCTTTGGCGAGATGCAGATTGCTCTTGCCCGTGCCAAGTCTAATGTTCATGCATTGGCAGTCTCCGGGGATAGTCAGGTTGCCAAATAAGCGCTTTGTTTTCCTCAACTACCTTCCGAGGTGAATCCAGCCAACATTATCTTACTTCGTGACCGTAATGAAATACCAGACTCCCACGTGCTGCTGTTGTTTGTAAATGATACCTTGGGCTGGCTTAGCCAATAGCTAATGAAGCTGGCTTCACGTGGCGACGTTACAATGCCTCAAACCCGGGAAACCGGCTCAGGTGTTCTGACAGAGCTGATCCAATTGTCAAGGGACATTCCTGCCGGAGATCATCTTGGCGTGCATCAAGCCATCGCCGAGACGGGTAGACCCAAGACAACCGATTGCCGGCTGAATCTTGACTAGGAGAGCCGCACCCCACGATGAGAAGTTTCCATCCTTTGTACTCAGGCCAAGGATTCGCTAACGTGCCTGTTTCAGGACAGCTTTGGACTTTTTGACGTTCGTTTCTTCCTACAGCTTGTATCGTGAACAAGCTCTCTTATGTTTATCATGTGGTCCAGCCCTCGGCCGAACAGAGATTTCTGTCCTCGGCCGTCAAGTGCTCATGCAAATCGCCGCTGAGACTCGGAGATCGAGTCAACAACTCGGCTGGGCAAAATTGGCACGCCAAGCCAAGCACAGGCCGGCGAAACGGTCCACCATCGTCAGCAGAGTCATGTAGCGGTCTCCCTCCGGCACTCTTCTCTCGGCCCTTTTTCGTCCCAAAAAAGACCTCATACACTCGGGAAATCTCACCAAATAAGCTCAAATTTCGAACGACCCAACTGTCTACGGACAGTAGACGACCGCTTTGTCGGGCCCGCACGCGCCCAATCTCTCGCTGTCTTGCATCCCATGTGTATGACCGTCAGCATCCATAGTTGCGATAGCGTTGTCCAGCCTACGTCTGTCGTGTGTCAAGTTGAACAGAGTTTTGCTCTAGCAAGGGGGACTTGGGATGAACGAAACAAGATATTTTGCAGCCAAGACTATGCGCCTCAGCGCCAGCAATCAACACATACTCGTCTCGTCCACTTCGAGAGAGACCACCATGCAGCCCAATACCGTACAATGCCGTACGCGCGAGGGGTGGCCGTCAATAAGCTTGTTTGTGGGGTTTAGAGTTACATGATCTCCGCAATCATTCAAAGATCGGCCCTACCAGCCCCTAAAGGCGATCGCCGTTCCTGTCTTAGTCTTATTTGGCGTTCTCTGGCGTCTCCGCACCGTCATCAACCTCTGACTCTCGTAGGCTCTATTCTAGGAGCACCGGAGTTAAAGAACACCAAAAGGGTTCTCGAAGAAAAAAAGTAGTGCACCCCAGAGCCCTGGTTGAAGGTCTCCAGACTCCAGAGCCAAGAGGCAGAAGGGAAAACTCCCGGTAATTGTCCGCAGCGCATATACAGTCGTACTGCTGCATCGTGAACTAGAGCAACGACTCGCGGAGATCCACCGAGGCCACGACGTCCGAAGCCGGACTTCATCCCGTTGGTGTTTTGGGCTTGCAAGCCAGGGATAGTCGCCAGGGATGCGCCCATCTCTGCGGGGGAATGGTCCCATAGTGCCAAGCCAAAGAGCAGACATTTTTGGCTTCATCAAATCTCACTACCCTCTCACATTTCTCTACTGCCCAGTCCCCACGACTCGTTCGGCTCTACCATGATCTCCGCTGCCCGCATGGTCCGCAGTCCGTACCAAAGACCAGCTTACCATCCGCCCGGTGTCAGCCCAACTACCGGCCGACGCTAGTTAACACCAGTAACGGTTCCGTGGGCAGCTCTGACAAGATACCATGGCCCCTAACTAACGTGTGATTCAAAACGTCATAGCTTCATGGTCCCTGTTCCAGTAGAGTGGGATATTATGAACTAATAGACGCCAAGCCCAATGGCTTGTCGCGGACGAACCGATGCAAGATGGGTACAGATACATAATAGCAGCACCATAAAGAAGCTTCCCGTCCCGCTACCGCCGCCGAGGGTTCCTCTACCATTGCGGCCTCCCTCACTCCTTTGATGATACAAATATAAGCGGCGGCAACTCCTCGTACTTTCTCCCAGCCAAGTTGCAGTCCTCTGGTTCCAAGCCGCAAGCATGTCTCTCATCAACGTAGACCTCCACGCCCTGGCGACAGGAGGCGCCGGCTATCTCGCCTCCATCAACGCCGGCGCCACACTGCCCACCCCGGCAATCTCCCTCCTGGCATACCAGCCCGCCTTCGCAGACGTCCTCGGCCCCAACGCCACGGCGCGCAAGATCGTAGAAGTAGACTGGCAGGCATTCCACGAGGGTGGCATCTACAACAAGAAGGACAACTCCCTGTACATCTCCTCCAACTACAACCCTGCAGACAACATTAACATCACCGTCCTCAACCTGAACGACTTCTCCATCAGAAGTACCCAGTTCGACGGCCTCACCGAGGCCAACGGCGGAAGCTCATACTACCCGCCCGGCGCGGACCAGTCCGCCACGCCGCCGATGCAGGTCTGGTGCGACCAGGGCGACCTGACGAGAAAATCCCAGCTCCTCGCCGTCGACCCCAACACCAACAAGTCGGAGCCTCTCATCGTCGGCTTCAACGGCCGCAACTTCACCTCGCTCAATGATGTCCGCCAGCACCCGGTAACAGGAGACCTCTGGTTCACCGACCCCCAGTACGGCTTCTTCCAGAAGTTCAGGCCCGAATCCGTCCTCCCCACGCACGTCTACCGCTTCGAGCCCTCCACGGGTACAGTCCAAGTCGTAGCGGACGGCTTCCAGCAGCCCAACGGCGTCGAGTTCTCGCCGGACGGAAAGACGCTGTACGTCTCCGACACGGGCGCCATCACCACCGCCCCTAACCTGTCCGGCCCTGCCACCATCTACGCCTTTGACATTATCGACAACAAGAAGCTCGCCAACAAGCGCGTGTTCGCGTACGCGGATAACGGCTTTCCCGACGGTGTCCACGCTGATACCGACGGTAATGTCTGGGGCGGCTGCGGCGATGGTATCCACGTCTGGAACCCTGAGGGCGTCTTGCTTGGAAAGATTCACTTGGGCGAGACGTCGAACAACTTTGCGTTTGCTCCGGGCAAGGTCTTTGTTTTCTCCAACCAGCGGTTGTGGGTGGTTGAGAACCTGAAGGCGCTTGGTAGAGAGGTTTGCAAGGATTTCGGAGCGGATTCGGATCCCAGATGCGCCAAATAGAGCGTCGGGTACCTATAGAGCTGTGTTTTAAAAGTTTTGATACCACATTCCCAATTTTAACTTTCACTTGATCTCAGAGCAGATATTCTCATTTCACAAGTGATGAACACATGACATACCAATGGCATAGTGAAGCGAGATAGACATCAAGACAACACTGTCTGACATTCACTGTCTCAGCACGATTCTTAAGAGCTCAATCCTTTGTTTGGAACGAGAACACTGTTTTCAAAGTGTATTGTCTTGAATCTGCTTTTCCAATATGCTATGCCACAGGCCCGAGGCTGTAATGTCCAGTAGCTAACCACCCTGCATCAATCCAAGCAACGTTCCCCATACCATTCCATCCGTACCACAAATCCAGTTCCAGAATTCTAAGCCTCGTTGAGAGTTCACGAAGTTTCCCAATAAAGGAGGATTGTTGGTATCCCTATCACAGGGTAGTGAATTCGAACCGTCCGGTTCTATGAGTGACGGAGGGCCAATTGCTGTCTATTGATTGATTCTGCGTAACAATGTAAACGGAAGATTCCAACTGTAAGTTGAAGGGGCCATCGTCGTCTAGTCGAAGGTGAAATCGACCTCTGCACTGCCCTAGGCTCGCAGTCGAATTGGACTCCCAATCCAACAAATCCTTGAATCCTGGGAAGGGGCGGTGAGGTGAGGACAGAGATGTGTGTGTATAAACATGAGTCCAGAAGCTCCAAGCCCGATTGACTGTTCGATATGGTCTTCGATCCCCGAGATTACGATCTCGTTCTTATTGTGGCCCTGCAGTGAAATCCTTCCTATCATGTGTGTCTGTCGTCAAAACCACACCCGATGGATGTGCGCGGGATCTGAATTGCGATTTGCGTGGTATCTCTGGTTACCGAGGGGTGCAAGCCCGAGTCCAGAAGCTTCAAAACCCACTGGCTGTCCGTCGCCAAAATCGAGACTCAATGTCGGAAGGCAGCCTCGCAGTGAAATCTCCTTGGTTGTCTTGACCATCAGGGGATCAATGATTGCTTTTAGGGGACGGAGGAATGAGAGCGGAATGGATCAAGCTTCCGAGGCAAGAAGGTGAAACGTAAAAGGGGGAAGTTTGAGTAATTAACCTTCTTACCTCGGAAGATCCGTTACGTCCGCCAAAGCCTCAGGGAGAACCACCGCCAGGATCATGAGATTAAGCCCACGGGCCCCGAGTGTAAGACAAGGCCGTGACGCTCGGCGCGTGGAATGCGGCAACAAATGCCTCTCGGGTCTCCTCCTCGAGAGGTTGGGAGGCGGAAAGGAGAAATGCTCTTAGGCCAGGCCTGGCCTAGAGTTGGAAATAGGCTGACGGTCCCAGCCGTGGCTCGCGGGGCCAACCTCTTTGAGCAGAGCTTTCCGGACAGTAGAATAAGGAATCCCGAGCGAATGGAATTCCCAAGACCAACAGCCCGCATACGGAAGTTGCGTTTGGGGCTGGGCTGAGCGACACAAACTTGCGCTTGGAAAATGTAAGTGATTATTCGAGCAGATTTCCGATGTTCGAATGGTGCCTGTATGATCCCCGGCCCTTATTTCTTCGAGTCGGGACGCTCATTCTTCGAATTATTTTCTGCTCCAAGGGGAGAAATGGACTTGTGGAGGCATTTTCTCTCCTTGGAGCAGAAACCGAAATATCGTCGTAGACATTGCGACGAGCTCTAGTCGTCAAGACCTTGCAAGAGCGTCCCCCCCCCCCCCCCCCCCCCCCCCCCCCCCCACAAAAAACGACAAACCACATCTAACATCTCTGCAGGGGAGGAAGTGGCTGTGTGGGGCTTTTTCTGTCCTGTGGGCCGAAACCGAAAAGTCGTCGTGACACGTTCGCCAGGGTTCGGTGTGTAAAGACTTGTAAGGGCGGCCCCCCCCCCCCCCCCCGCGATATGAATAGAATGTAGAGGATACTACTCAGTAGATGTTTCGAGCAGGGGCAGGTCGGATTGTGAAGGCACCGCGTGCGGCGATAGCGATGAAGCTTTTGTCGATGATGTTGCATTCACTGCCTCTAGGGTCTGAGTGAGGGTAGTCTACGACTGAGACTCCGAGGTAGTTATGGAACAGTCCTAGGCATTCAGAAAATACCCTCGGATTCTCAGTCGTGGTCAGATCTCACCAAATCCTCCGGTCAGATGCTTGAAATGGAAGAGAAAGTCTTCCTGTAACCATGTTAGCGATGCACACACACGAGCGGTATTGGGGGAAGACGGACTAGTCTGTGGTCTTGGAGCCGGAAACGAGTTGTTTGGAACCTCTTCTTTGCAGAGATCTGAAAGTCCCACCCCCCCCCCCCCCCCCCGCCACCCACATATGCAGGCAAGCTGGTTGGGGGCGGTGGGCAGGTGGAGGAGGAGGTTGGATATTCGAGCCTCTTGGTCCTTGAAACATGGATCGGACTCAAAGCTACGGGCCCTTGAGTGGGTGAGTGAGAGCCTGCCTCAGTGTGACGACCGGCTGAGATACGCAAGCCAGGGCCTGTAGCTTTGAGTCGATAACCATTCCGTAGTCCAGAGAAAGACCTTTGACGATTGAGGAGAGTATTATTCGAACAGTATTTTTTGGGTGGTTGGAGCGCACAACGGAGGGTCCCGTCGCGTGGGAGCTCCTCCGTTTGCTTAGAAATATCCAAGACTGGACTCTGCAGGGCGGGTTAGAAAGAGGATTATGCCACTGGAAGATGCTTTCTTCATGATGAAGTCCATGTCGAGAACAAGCGGTTACATGGCAGACAGACCGAAGGCATGGGTATTACTTGGCTTTCAAGGGGGCAAAACAGGTGTAACAAAGAACAGTTGGAAGAGTGAACATACCGGAGCTGAGATACCAAGTCCTGGCAGTGCCAGTGGCGAAAAGTAAAATGTGGAATTGTGCCATTCACTCGAAAAGAGGATTTAGGACTAGTATCCTTCGTCGATCTTTGCGTAATCCGCCCCAATTGCCAGAGGCCGCAGGGCACTCCAGTTATGGAAGCTTCCTGCTTTCACGACGTTAGCAAAGCTTAAAGAGCAAGGTGCGGAAGAGGGCTCAGCTCACCTTTCGAACAGTTCTCTTTGAAAGAAAAATACTAGGCTGTGCCTATATGTCAGGTGAGGCTTGCCGTCGTCATGAAAGAGGCATATCAAAGACTATCAGTATTGAAGATGGCATCCAGGGTGGATAATTCCAGTCGGAGCTGGGGAAAAGGGTAGTAAACTCGCAGACGATGCTATTTGAACAAAGAGAAGAGAAGAGGTTTTGTGTGTGGGAAGTTTGGATGGGAAAAAGAGTGATAGACAGAAAAGGGAAAAGAATATTGACTGCACAGAATGTGGGAAAGGGTGTATGGTCAGGAATATCGGCGTCACGTGTTGGGGGTTTGTTTTGATATTTGTGGCATGGAAGGGGGCAGAAACCGGGGGAAAGGTGAAGGAAGGTGCGATGAGTGATTATGAGGCTGGCTGTTTCCAGTAAAGGAAGTTAGAGATGGGAAGGTAGAACAGCCTCAATGTACCTGCCTTACCTGTGTATAGGTACCTACCTTAGTGAACTGTAAACAACGTGAAGCTGCACGGCTGTTGGGGCCAACTTTCACAGTTCCAAATGCTTTCATTTGGATGGTTGATTCAATCCAAGAGTTCGTCCAGCTTGAATTGTAGTCTGTCTGTAGATGAGTTTGATATGTGGCTCGTCTGATGTTGTCTGCGTTTTCACACAGGTCTCGACGCTGGTCTTGATTTCGGTCTATTAAAAGCAACGAATCCTCGCAAAGAACAGGCTTCTTTCTCAAAGTCCTCGTGTAGTGTATTTTATGCCACTCCACATCTCCCCCTTGATCTTCTGAGTATAGTTAATCATTCCATATGCCTGCATTGTCACACGAGGGCTAGGTTTAGACAATTCAAATCGATCATACCCCGTTTGCACAAAAGCGCGGTGTCGAACTTCAATCTGCCATCGTCCAAACTCTCGAATTCAATAGTTCGACTACCTGATTTGGTAACATCCCGTTGACGATAGACCACCTGTGTTGGATAATTCATCGTACGCGGTTGCCGGACGGGGCAGAAAAGCCACCAAAGATGACGGTAGGTCAAACTGTCACGGTTGGCACATGTGGCTATCAGTAGTAGAAGGCGTTTTAAATGCCTATTGACGGAATTCGAGACTATATGTGAGGCGAACATGAACACGACTTCGATGCACAACGGGGCCGATGCCGGCGTCAGAGCTCTCCCCCACCGAGACATGCCGTGGACGGGGCGAAAGCAATCCACCGGGATATGGCCAGGGCGAAGGTTGGGCAAGTTGATACATAGAAGAATTTCGAACAATCAAGCTTGGCAGTAATTGATATCTCTACTCGATGCAGAGAGACTTGCGGTTTTGCCAAGACATCTCCATTGGCCCAAGGCTGTCACTCTCCTCCGCAATGTTGAAACTCAGCAAATCTTAGCTGATGATATGGACAGAATTCAGTATGCCCTGACAGTAACACCAAGACGGACCGACTCAGAAGACTGCTTTGTAATGCGTGAAATATTTTCCGGCTGCGTCAACATACAACACAGAGAGTGGAACCAGAAGATCGCGGGAAAGAAATGCTACTTTCGGTTTATGAGGTAAAGCTTGCCGACTCCTTGACGTGGTACATAAACTAGGTAGTCCCCGGCCCCAACCAAGATGAACACCCAAAGGGCCGCATTACACATCGAAGTCCCTAGTCATCGTCAAACCAAACAAAACATAATGTTCTACACCTCAGTCACTATCGTCGTCTCGCCATACCACGTCGGCATCCCCAACCACCGCGTCGGCACCGGCCCCAACCGCATCCTCTCCCATGGCCTAGCCGACGAACTCGAATCCCTAGCCCCAATCCGCTTCGTCAACATCGGTCCCGTAGACGACTTTGAAGGCGAGATCGGCCGCACATTTGAACTCCTCCGCCGCATATCCACCGCTGTCTCGGAGGCCGTAGCCGCACACTCTTTCCCGCTTGTCCTCTCGGGGAACTGCTACGCCAGCACCGCCGTGGCAGCAGGTCTTAACGCTTCCGTTCCGGGCTTGAACCTGCTGTGGATAGACGCACACGATGACCTGGATACACCGTCAACAAACGAGAATGGGTACCTTGATGCAATGGCGCTGTCCATGGCGGCTGGGATGAGCTGGCATAAGCTGATGGAATCCGTGCCGGGGCATAAACCCTTGAGTCTTGATCGAGTGGCGTATTGCGGCCTGAGGGACGTGTCTGAGCTGCAGAGGAAGACAGTGACGGAGGCTGGGGTGGATGTTATCTGGGGTGACGAGAAGAGCAAAGTCGATTTCGCAAAGGAACTGGGGGTGTTGTTGGAGCGGAGGAGGTTCGAGAAGACGCATATTCATCTCGATCTCGATGTTTTGGATGAGTCGTTCGGGAGGGTGAATGAGTTCCCTTCTTCGGGGGGGTTGGATGAGCAAGATTTGATAGGGTGCTTAGAGACGATTCCGACGAAGACGAGTCCGACGTCTTTGGTCGTGTGTTCTTTCAATGCAGAGTTAGAGGGGGGCGATACAGTGGCTAGACTTGCAGTGAGGGGCATTGTGCGCTTTGTTGAGGGGCTCATCCAGGCCGAGGTCCTGAAAGCAGCTTCATGAGAGGTGTCAGGTCTTTGTCCTGAGCCGATCAACAGCTGAGTGTATCCAGGCTTATATTCTAGCTTATCAAGGGAGAACACATAGATTCAGAAGTTGAGGGCACCGTGGTAGTAAAGATGTTGATAGTGGTACCGGCATCAAGTGATATGGCATCATGGCTGGAACATAGTGAGGTAGCCCACGTCAAATATCACTGAGAGCAACTCGAAACCTTTTCATCGAAGCAGGAAACGGTTTGAACCGCGCCGAGGTGCCTGGACAATAGGGAGTGTACCTCTTTCTCCTCCACTCCGTACCTACTGAATAATATAAGATTCAGTCAACGTCAACGCGAAAAGCTATACGTCTGCTGCATCTCGTCCCTGGTTCCGCGAAGTCTTCAAGTCACGTCTGGTGAGACTTCCAAACTCCGGCATGCACCCACAGACGAGGAGAAATTCTCCTGACAGATTGTAGCTACAACCATGTTTGAACTTGGCCCAGAGTAGAAAGCAGTTCATGGACCTCAGAATCATGGCCATGATACACTAAGATCTTGACACAGATGAGATTTTTACTCGCATCCTCTCAACCTCTGTCAAGTGATGGAAGTCTTCCGGTTCATGTGACTTCGCGGAGAGGCAGAGTTGAAAATCATGGGAGCCCGAACTCGAAAACAAAACTACGAACTCACATCATGACATGAATCCTTTGATAAGATTCAAGGTCTTTGCTGTGCTTGGGCATTGACAACCCATGATCTCCATGATCGCCGACCACCTCTCAATCTCCTCAGCGGATAACTTGAATCCAAGCCTCTCAGCACAAAGGCTTCCCCCGAAAAGCTGTCACTCCGATGTTTCATTGACCAACAGAGTCTCTTGTCTCTGGCTCAGACCTCATGTAAGCCCTAATATGGCAGGTAGTTCCACCCGGGATGGTCGTGCGTATCTGAGAGCATGCAGGCAGCTTCGGATGCCGACCTCGTGGCGGTCTGACAGGCTGCAGCTACTAGCGCCGCGAGACACCCATCCAAAATAGACTGGCCCGTTGTGGGATACCTCAGTGAAATCTCTCACAGCCTCATCGCCCACCAAGGGATGCGTGAATACTTCCAATCGCATCAGACAGTCCGCAGGCCATGCCTCACGACACTGTCATGACGCGGCGTGAGGACAGCCTGGATGAGCCCATATACGCGCAGTACAGATTTTCACAAACAGTGCCGTCAGGGCAAGGCATCGCGTCGCACATCAGACTCCTGAGTATATCAGAAGACATTCTCGCGACAGTACACGGCGAGCGCGACATCCTCATTTGGAACGTCAAGCTCAACTTGCCTCCTCAGCGCATCGAAATCGACTTAGTCCTCGACCACATTACGGGCATTGCCATCTCTCCGACAAGTAGCGACGTTCTCGCGCTGTCGTTCCGGTCGGGGTCCAAATGCGAGGTATGGACGTTCAACTGGGCAGGCAAAGCCCCTGAGGCAATGTTCACGACGGGGTTGGACTTCCACTCACCACAATTTTCGCCTGATGGTCGTTTACTCGCGTGGATATCGGCCGGGTGTGTGGACGTTTGGGAAACAATCATCAACACGCACGTCCAGACAATTAGCGAAAGCAAGAAAGTGACCAGCGGCCGGCCGGTATCCAAGTTCGCATTTTCGACGGATTCAAGTCGACTCGCAACGGTGGATCGTTCGGGGAGGCTGGTGAGCTGGGACGTCGCAACATGGACGTATATTGGCGAATCGAAGGCTCAGCCGGCGATGGACGACGGCGATTGGGAACCAGTGCAGCTCGTCACAGATGCCAGACGTGTCATGATGGTCTCCCGCGGCGTAGATGGCGAAATTCCGCAAAGGTGGAGGTTGACAACATGGTGGCCGAGTAGCGGTAACAGGGCGGAACTCGAGATGGACGAATGCGTATACGGATGCGTTCCTGGAAATTGTGCATTCGTGGCGACGGTTCAGTCAGACGGGGGAAAGCTGCGAATTCGTGACGCGAACAACGGCATGTGCTTCGATCAGTCGACCCAAGGCATTGCGAAACGCGGCAAGACACCCTCGGTGGTGACGGGCGGTATGGTGATGAGTGGAAAGATTATGGTAACGCAAATTGCCAACGGGAGGACGACGATATGGCAGTTGGTGGCCACGGAGTAGGGCTCGAAGCGCACGACGGCGCGAACACGACTCGCGAAAGGGCACGATGTCTTGGTTGGGAAGAATGGTTTGCACCAAGATATGCACCAAACCGAGCAGAGCCCGATAACGGCGATTGTCTTCTCACGAACTCGCTGATTCTGGTCAGCGAAGCGAAATCCAAGCTAGAAGTAGGCGGGGGTCGTCTTGATGGGGCCTAGTCGCCGGGAGAAGTTGTGGATTCGGCGTTATCTTACTCAAAATTTGACCTCAATTTCCATCAGGCAATGTTTACAAACTATCATGCTAGACCGGCGCCCGCTTACTCTTGTCAGAGCGTTTAAGTTAACTTGTTGCAGTCGGAAGCTACTATCCCTAATCGCCCGTAATTGAAAGACATTGTCACCCCCCCTGTGTCTCCGAGTCAAACCGCTTCATATACGGAAGACGGCATTCTACGCCGCATTATGGCCGTGTTTTGCTCGCGTTCGACCGCACGTTTGAAGGATCAAGTTGCATGGGATTACCAAAAGAGTGATAAGACCTTGGGTGACAAAACTCCAGGTCAAACCTAACCCACTTGTTAGTCTATGTTGGGCTGAGAGGCAGGCGGGTACCATACCAACAGCTTCAACCCAAGTATTAATGAACCAAGGGACAAGGAACGCAGAAATCTATAGGCCGCATAATATTGAGTAAGCTTATGTTCTTTTTGCATCTCCTAGAGTACATAATATACAAAAAGATCGCCTCACGTTGTAAAGAAACCCATACAAAGATATGACTTCCAGGACCTAATCTAGGAAAGCAGCGATCGAGTACGTTATCACTATTACGTTTCCCATTTAAATCCTGCAGCGACTACGCCATACATTAATTAAGGGTTCCCAGATAAGGAGTTATCTTCTCACAGATGACTAAAGCGACCTCTCCTATCATGAAATGCCAACTACGATCAATCAAAATACCCCACAAGATGCATCCTCCCGCCCCGAGTAGTGCCGCGGGATATACAAGCCATAGATACATCGCGGGTGCAATTATAACATTCTTACTTCTGGCGAGCTGGGACGCGAGTTTGTCAAGCATCCGACTAGAACAGACCATTTCGATAGTACCAGTGCCTAGGATGAGGCCAAGCCAAAGCAAACCCTGAGTTTGGGTACTAAATTAGGCATATGCCACTGGCCCCATGGTGAGAAAATAGACGACCCTGGACAGATCCCGCTAGATAAAGGACTCTCGTAACATTATCACCTGATTTTGGCAGTGTATTTTACCACCAATACTAGAAGAATATATAAGGAACGACTGCACACAAAAATCGAGGCTAGGCCATAAGCTTCATGAAGTGGATGGCCGTCATACACATCCGCCTCTTTGACCCTACTTGAAGCTGCCGTACTCCCTGCAAAATCGTGAGGATTTTGAAACAGCCACGGTGCAAAAAGACTTACCCAGAGCCTCAAATTCTTTGTTCTTTTGACGATGTCCCACTCTTGGTCCAGTAAGACACTGTCTGATATAGATTTTCGTGGGTAGAATGTTTCCGGTAAGAGTGATATCTCGAGTAGGAGGAGAACTCCGAAGGCAATTGAAACATGATACTGCACCCATAAGATCCCAGCATCAACAACAAATCCTCCGACTATACCCAATGTCAGGGCTGTTCACGTTTCTCGAGTGATGCAAGCATGTCCGGCGGCCAAGGCATCGGACAGTGAGTCATTGATGTAGAGTCGTGCATGGAATCTCGGCGATTCCCAGTCATTGGACTACAAGAGACCAAGCTTGTATTCACTGCAAGATCATCCAAGGCGGAGTCCATTGCGTCGTAATGGACTGGCCTTGCTCTGGGCTTCTCCGCAAATGTTCCTCAGCACTACAAGTTGCGATTAATGTCAATTGCCCGATCAATGCAGGTTTCTTTTGTGCATTGGATACGAACCCTCCGTCTCCAGGCGACAGCTAAGATCCCTGGCCCTTGGCACTTGAAGTTCACAAGCCTATTTGTCAAACATCGTGAACTGTTCGGTCAGAAAAGAGAATGGCTCGATAACGTACATCTTCGATTTGGACCCGTCGTTCAAATCGCTTGCAACGAGGTTTCGTTCGCAAGCTACATAGCAGCAAAGCAAATTTACGGCTCGGGAAGTAAGGACTTCTCAAAAACGGAGCTATACTCTTTCGTTCAGCAAGACGGTCACATGTAAGTGCCTTGCCGCGGGTTTGTTTTTGACACTCTTTGTGCTCATGAATCTGACATCTGCAGCAACCTTTTCACAGCCCTCGACTCAGATACCGTACCTATGACACTCTCTTCCAAATGTAAGCTCCGTGCTCTATGGCTAACGTAACCGATGATAGCATAGCACTATACAGCGCCATCTCGATGGCCGGTACTCCATCTCATCGGTTCTCCGACCTTAGATCATCGAGATGATAGACGAGCGGGCAGGAGCCTTTGGGGCGGTGTGTGCGGTTCCAGATACGGCAGACATCTACGTGAGATACCCGAGGTCACCCGCATGAATGTGGTTTCTGACTGTGTGCGCTGAAATATTAGTTTTACCTGCATGCATATGCTCTCGATTGTGTGACTGGGATGTTGTTACATCCTCACAGAACAGACTCACTTGTCGACGCTGGTGACCGGCAGATGGTCAAGCTGCTATCTTATGCTAAAACCCGAGAAGGTAGATTCTCATCAAATGCGCTTTAGAGTTAAGAAACTCTTTGGGATGCGTTCTTAACACTAACAAGTCTAGCAGTAACCTTGTTGCACTATTATCTGCCCCTACTATCACCACTGGGAGGCCTTGTTCCCGAAGCTGGTCGACCTGGAACAAGGAGGCAACTTTTTGCGAAAGTTTGTGCAAGACTCGTTGGAAACCGGATACCACTCCGACTTCACCGTGGCACGAAAGCTTCTAGAATCGAGCCATGTAAGCAGGCCCCTGGCAGAAGCTGAATGCCTCGACCACATTGGCGCTGGGATCGAAACTACAGGTGATACCTTGTGTTGGCTCGTTTGGGGACTCTCTCAGCCCAAACACGAGGGAAGAGTCCAAAAACTTCACAACGAGCTTGTCGAAGCAGGGAATGATCGGCCTCTTCACAAACTGCCCTATCTCAACGCTGTTGTTCATGAGGGTTTGCGTTCATTTGCCCCAAGAACGATGTCGCTTCCACGTTACGCGTCAAAACAGAGCGCCTTTATTGATGGATATTTCATCCCCAAGAATTCGATCGTGGCGTGTAACTCCTTTAGCATGCATCGCCTGGATGAGAGTACGTTCCCGGACGCATGCCAATTCGTTCCTGAGAGATGGTTGGATTCAGAAGACAACACTGATCGACAACGTTTATTTCTTGCCTTTGGGCTTGGCCCACGGACTTGCATTGGGCGGCAGTAAGCTTGGATACTTCATCAACGTCGAGTTAGAGGTTCTTGGTCAAGGGGTGAATCGCTAACGCATTGTGCGCTTTGTAATCTTGCTATGGCTGAGATGAGAGCTTGCTTGAATGCAGTCTACTCCAAGTATCGTACTAGACCCTCCCCGGATATGCGGTCGAGTATGGAGATGGACGATCAAGTTCTGACATCCCGTCCTCGAGATCTGTGCTACAAGACACAGTTCGTACCTTGGGACCTAGAGGCATGGTTCTCCAGAGTGCCTTCATCACACGCAGTTGAGGATCACTGGCATCTGTTGCTTGGCAATCGGGCTGGCACAGGTATAGAAGCTTAGAATATGAGCCCTAATTCCGGGTCATCATTCAACTTCCAGAGATCTTCTCAGTATTGGAAGGGTGGCCGAGTTGGTTATGGCGCCAGGTTAAGGTCAGCTTAACATCTGTTTCCTGGTGGGGCAACCCGCGCGAGTTCGAGTCTCGTCCCTTTCAACATTATCTTTTTGCATGTCGTGGTGATATTGATATCCATTGTCCGATGATTTTTTTGGTGCGATTTGACGAATTCGGTGAACTCCGCCGATGCGTCTTGTTGGGTACGTACCTCGAGAATTGAGTTCCGTCTGCAGAAATTGTTAGTGCAACGGAACGGACCAGTAGATGGGGCAGAAACGGCTCAGAGTGGGTTCTTCGGATACGAGGGACCTGTGAGAACTCTGCACTGGTGGGGCCGTCACCGACAATGTGCCGTGGACCAACCAGGGACGGTAATTCTCCGTGCACAGGCCACTTTCTCGCCCGATTCATCCCCGACTATGGGTCCGGGCCTGGATTGATGTTTGCCCCATTCCGGACGTCCTCCGACCGGTCTTCCCAGCTGCTGTCGACTCGTCTCCACGCAGATGTTACACTCGCTGAAATTGTTGGAACGCACCATCATTTCATGAAGATTGCGCTGCTGCAGCCTTAGCTTCGGGGGGCAACGGGGGACCCAAGCGACCCAAGGTCCTCAAAATACAGGGGCGATGGATGCTGCAGGCATGTGCGCACTGCGCAGCGCTGCCTAGCGCTGTAGTCCACTGTCCACTGGTCCAGAGGTGCAATGTACCGAGGTGAAACGCGGTATTTTGCACTGAATATTGGGACTGACGAAGACATCAAGCCAAAGAGATATGTCTGTCAGAGCGGCAGAGCAATTGTTGAGACCCGACAGTTGTTGGTTACTGGTGGTCCGGTTCTTGTCCAATCGTTGCCGACCGTTGCAAGTACGCAGTACGCAACTTTGTGGATTCGAGCCTCTTGGACGACCTGGTCTTCTTCACGTGCGGACTTGCTCTGCTCCGCAATGCCTTGTCTTGCGTCGTATCATCCTACTGCTGCGCGTCCCAATTCCCTCTCGTAATCGTCAACTACACTAGACCATATGGGTTCCTGGGAACTGTAAGCAACAGCTGGCCATGCGCAGCGCATCTGAGCGTATCTTGTCTCGTAAGATCACAGCTGTGCCGTTTGCTGCCCATCGCGATCGGCCCAGAAATTGGACGTCGGATGCTTTTCGCAGACACCGACCACGTGAGCGGTGGAAGCAGTATCGTCTCCGATCAAGGTGCTCGACGGATGCGCATGCCGCCCAGATAAGAGTACGGCTTGCGAGTGTCAACCTCCAAATGGTGTCGTATCTTTGGGTTGTTTCCGAAGGTCTGGCCGCAGACTTGTTTCGTAAAGCTAACAGCGTCTTATCTCGGGCGATAGGCGATTGCTGTTTTCTAACGGCGACCCAGGCAACCAGGAGCGACAAGGGGTTCAAGGGGATTCCTCGGCGTCCACAATTCCATCCTTGAGCCTTGAGATAAGCAACCACAGCAGTCTGGGGTTTCGGTAGGTCCCCCACGCAGTGATGGAGGAGGCCCCTTTCCGCCCCTACATCGAGTGGGCTTCTTGATGGCCACGGTCAGCAAAGTCCCCGTAACGTATCAGTTCGGATAGTCGTACATTGCGCGGATGAGCAGGATGTCTTTCCCCGAGTCCCTGGTCTGAATGGTAAGCTACGCCGTTTGCCTTACCGAGGCGGGTGGTGTTTGGCGGCTATAGTCCTATCTTCGAGGCGCTCTGGCGCGGTCTGCGACAAGTTGACATCTTGGTCAGGAGACACTTGTGGCGTTATCAAATCGGTTTCCCGGCGTGTAGGCCGCCCCGTGTTTGTAAATGCCGGGATAGCCATTGGTCTCGCTCAGTCTATACCGGCTGAGTTTTCTGGATTTGGGAAGACGTCGCGTGATCTGCGTAGGATCGATATTCCCGAGGGCTAGAAGTCGGTAGTTGGAGATGTGTTCAGGGCTAAACGTCGTCGTCACTCCTGTCAGGGCGGCCTGCTTGTCGGCCGCCTTCGTTCTTGCAAGTACCTCGCTAACAGGGTACAGAGTCGGTAGAGTCGGAACTGATGTTTCTCTGCCTATCAGTACCTTAGCCCATGGTGTATCGATGCCCTTGTGCCGTCCAGCACGCTGTATCAAGGATCTGTTCCGATGAGATGTTGGTTGCTTCGTCTACTCCGTACAGAGCCATGTGAGCGTCCCCGGCTGCCAGCGTTTATTGTCTCGCTGGGTGACATTACTCCGTGAATTAATCGCACGAGTGGTGTAGACGGCATAGAGTATGGCTTATCCGTACATACATAGGAGATGTGCCTTGGTCCCGGTCGATGGCAAGGGATTCAAGATTCAAGGATTGATGCAGCCGTAGTTCGCATCCTGCAGTCGAGCTAACATGGCCATGTCTAGAGCAAGGAGTAAGGATCTTCGTCAATGGAAAATGGGAGACTTTGGCGGTGGCCCAGGAAAAGATGGAGGCGTCAGAGAGATGCGGTTGCCGCAAGGCTGGAGAGGATCCAAGGCGTCGGTGGAGGAAGGCACGGGGTGGGTCTGGTCACTGTCAGCCTTGAGGAAGCCACGATGTGAGGCAGGTGCGACGACGGAACCTGCGCACCTTCCGTTTGTTCTCCAAGATATTGCAGGTGGAAGGAAGGGAAGGTGCGATGTCCCCCTTCTTGAGATGCACCTTCCCGCCCACTCCATCTGGACGCAACCACGTGCTTCCGATCCGACGACATCTTGCCGCATTTCTCAGGCCCGCGGTGGATGTCTCCGTAAGGTACAGACGCGAGGTTCACTCCACTCAACTTCATGTCAAAATACGCCAGCGAACGTGTTTCTCTTGGTCTTCAACTCCACGTCGCATTCCGCTCTCATCGACAGCTGCCGTGGTCTTGGCGCCTCTAAACAACCTTCCTCACTCGAAGACCTACAGCGGGGTTCCCTATTAGACGCTCTCCCGTCCTGGACTACTCCCGACTCCCCCATGTACCTTGCCTTGCCCTCTCGGCTCCCGCATGGCTATCTACATACTGTTGCACTGCACTGCAACGGAGAATCTAGACGCAGATCTCTTCCAGGGCAAATGTCGGTTCATGGATGCTGTTGGTCACCGCCATGTGATGCCCTCGCTAATTCGTTTCCAGCTGCGGCTCAGCGGCACCTAAATGTTTTGACGTACGGGAACGAAGGATGAGGAGGAACCGTTCTCGAGACCCTGCGCGCGTGTCTGCGGGCGTTCGATCACCCTTACCAAAGTCACTGACCAGGTACACCTACCTGTACGCTGGCATCCTGATTCTGCATACGAGGTCTCAAATTCAACGTCACTTCGTCTAAATGGCTTCTAGTGGTGGTTGTATCGGGCTCTACGGACTGGCAATCGAACCTTTTACTTTGCCCGATTCATACGCTTTCTTCCGGGACTCCGCCAAGCAATTTGTCGGTCTGCACTCGGTGTGTTAAATCTCGCTCTCGCCATCCCCACTTCACCAGCGACCGTCATCGCTCGCGCCACACCCGCTTCCATCAAAAGCGAGGCGTTGCGCATTTTGCTGCCCTCGTTGGGCCTCATTAGAAAGCCATTGAGCTGATCATGATGCAAGGCTATCGATTTGTTCCATCATGCCATCTCAGCCTTTCCCCGGATTCGATACGTATATACGTATCGTGAGTGTGCCCCTCCTGTTCAGCCTGGCAGTGGACAGGGTCTCCAGGGTCTAAGGGTACCAATTGCGCCATCAGCGAGCCTTCAGGCTTCAGCGCAAGTGGACGACCCAGCATGGCGGGACAAACGTCGACGTCCTTGTCGCGTGTGCTGCGATCGGGTGTCATCCCCCGGACTGGCCTGGCTTCCCTCCACCAAATAGCCGGGTTTGGCGCTGAGCCGGCTCGATAGGTGCTGAGGGAGAAATTTCTTGGCTTGACGACTCGTCTGTCTTTCCCATCAAGGAATCGAACGCTTTCCTCACATCCCGACGACAGACATGAATGGTAGACTGACAGCCACCGACGATTGTCACCGACAAGTATCTCACCCGCGTTAAGCCGGCGCAGAGATACTCTTACGTACGACTCAGCTTGGCTCTAACTTGGTGCGGCAGGTGGGCGGATCATCACTGGAGTACCCTCTGTGACATCAGCACCTATTCAGGGCCTCCTCAGAGCCACTTTAGAACCACTTCCCACGGGAGCTTGCAGGCCTCACGATCCTAGTGGGCTTGGTTGTATCAGGGAGTTATTCAAGGTGTGCCCCCCGACCCTGTGTTGGCGCGCAGAGGCAGCCTTGGGATTCCCTGTGCAGAACGGGGGGAGCCCCTGTCTCTCCCCCCATCTGCTCCAGTCTCCTCCATTTTCCTCCATTTCTCTCCATTCTCTCTCCATCCAAGCGCGTCCACTTGGCTCACTTTTCAAACGCTCACTCGCTCGCTTTGCGACCGCCAACCGTGTCGTCCTCCACCGTCGTCGGGATCAAGACGGCAAGACGGAAGATTGAGAGACTCCACGACTCGCACCGGGCGAACCAACGGTCTGCATTTGCGTGGAGAGCATGCGGCGCTAGTCGGGCAACTGGGACCACAGCACTACGTCATTACGCATTATGTGCATTGAGCAGGTCGAGGATGAGGACTGATGGAGAAATGGATCATTTCTTTGCTGTCTCAGAGGTTGACGATTTTTTTGTGCTGCCGCTGCCGCTGCCTCTAGGCACTCGGTCCCTGATTGTTTCCCCTCGACACGACGAGGATTATTAGACGTGGAGCGCAAGCCGCAACCACAAAGCGTAACAACGTGGAACGTTGGAGCCTCATCCGACGCCTCGCGGCTTCACGGCTCCTCGGGGTCATCCCTTTCGGCGCCGACGGGGGAGGGGAAAAGAGGAGAGTTTTTGAGGAGAAACCTGGAAGAGAGCGTTGACAAGGTCTCAATTCTCAAAGTACCTACACATTTCCAACAAGTACGGATGGCTTGATTATTCGTACATCGCCCCCAACCCACCCGTGCGGGACAACACACATGCGCAAGAAGCCGCGAAGAACACACGAAGAATAATGCCTCCATGGGTTCCTAGCGTCAGCTAGCGGACAGCCAAACCTTGACCACTTGTCGAACCGCGGCACTGTAGTGCGGGAAAAGGATTTGCAAAATCTCAATGTCTCGCCATCCCGCCGCCACTCTCCATGGGACTCTCAGGCCTAATCCAAGTCGTGCGACACACAGGCGCGGAGCAAAGTCCTAAGGCGCGCGGACCAATGTCCAAAGGGCCGCAGCCCAATCGGCTGATGATTAGGGATACAGGGCAGAGGAAATGCAAATGCAAATGCAAGACAGGCTGACAGGCTAGAGCCCAAAGTACCGCCGATAAATCCCATTTACCTTGGGTCGGGTGTTCCAACGATGGGCTCAATATGCTTTAGACCTGCGGTCGATAGCGCGGGACAAATTACCGCAACCAGGCCCAGAGCCGACACCGTCTGGCTCTACACGCGCTCTTACAGGCTCACTTCTTCGGCCTGGGTCTTGGCACCACACCAGATACGGCTGTTGCGAGCGATGCGATGCTTGAATGCTTCGATACGGCTGACGCTGGCCACATGCCAGGCACCTCAGCTCTATCTTCTCGGCCTTGCCTTGCACGGCGTTGCGTTGCCCTTCACTGTGCCGCAGGACGTCGTCCGTAAGCGAGAGAGAGCGCCCATGCTACCCGCGCTGACTGCCCGGCAAGTCTTGGGAGGTCAGAGTGTGGGCAACAAGATTGCTGTGGCACCGGTCGAATCCACCGGGGACCCCGAGTCAGACCAAAGAGGCCGCGAGAGATAAACAGACACAAGTTGAGGGAACCTACGCTAAGAAACCCTTCATCGACATTGTGCGAGCCCGCCCGCGCCCAGCAGTGCACACGGCGCCTGTATCCTGTATGGACAGATAGGTACAGGGACAGCACTGATAGGACGAGACATGCGACTACATACGGACGGACAAGGGGCTGAGAGGGGGGCAAAGGACATGGGCATGGGCATGGGGGTGTCGAAGGTACACTACAACTCTTTGGGAGTTTGGTCCCGCAGCCTACGTCCATGTCCAATGAGATGGACGTCATTCACCCATCCCGGCGAACGCGACACCAAGGAGTGAGAGAGGAACCGACTGATAGCCCAGTACGGGACGGCACTGAATGGAAGTTGTACAGTGAGGAGTAAGGACTGCCTCAACTCAATCGAGACCTTCCCTGCCGGCTGTTCTGTCTGTCAATCTGTCTCCGGCAGCCTGTCTGTCTGATTTGTCTCGTTTGTCTATTTTTTCGACCCTTGCCGGTTTTTGCCTCTTTTTCTTTTCCTCCTTCCTTTTAAACTCTTCGTCTTCCCATCTCCTCGGCTCTGGAATACTTCAGTTCCAGTTACACACGGCCGATCCTCACCCAAATAAACTTCCCTTCCTCTTGGCTTTCCAAATCACATAAGGCCTTCACTGTCCCTCATGTCAATTGGAAGAGCCGTCTCACCTTTTTAACCTTTCTCTCCTTTCCGGTCCTCCCTCTCGCCGCCTCGGAGCCCGATTTTGGCTTGCTACTCGACAGATAGTATAGTCAAACAACATAACGGGCTTTCATCATGGCGCATGTGCTCTCGCAAGACCCCGGTGCTCGCGAGCACGATCTCGGCTTCAACAAGGGCGATATCAAGGATGGCTACACTACCCGACCCTCCCGTTCCGACGATGGCGGTGCCGATAACATGCTCGAGTCTCTGGGTTACAAGCCCGAGCTCGAGCGTAATCGATCAACGCTGCAGGTTGCCTTCATGTCTTTCGTCCTCGCTGCTATCCCCTACGGTCTTGCCACTACCATGATCTACCCCTTGGCTGGCGGTGGTCCTGTGAACATTATCTGGGGATGGCTCGGCGTGTCTTTGATCATTATCTGTGTCGCTGCCTCGCTCGGTGAAATCACCAGTGTCTACCCTACTGCCGGAGGTACTTACCAGCTTTTCTTCTCCGTCATGTTTGCCGTTGCGACGGCCGGCCGGCTCCGAAATTCGCCAAATCCGGACTTTATGCTGACGACTTCTCTCTGATAGGTGTCTACTACCAAGCCTTCATGCTGTCCTCTCCCAAGTACCGCCGCGTGGCCAGCTGGATTTGCGGCTGGTTGTACGTGGTGGGAAACATTACCATTACTCTGGCCGTGAACTTTGGAACTGCTCTGTTCATCGTCGCATGCGTCAACGTTTTCGAGTCGGAACCTGGTGTCGGCGTCCTTGCTGGCGAGCCGTACCAGGTTTTCCTCATCTTCCTGGGTTTGACCTTCATTTGCAACATTGTGTCCTCGCTCGGCAACAGGTGGCTGCCCATCCTTGATGTAAGAATGCTTCCGCTCCCGCGTGCCCGGTGTTGTACAGTTGTGAAATGAAAGCATACTAAACTTTTGGTGACTTAGTCCGCGGCTATTTTCTGGACATTCGCTGGTGTCTTCGCCATCATCATCTCCGTCCTCGTCGTCGCCAAGAACGGCCGTCACGATGCCAAATACGTCTTCACCCACTTCGAGGCCAACTCCGGGTGGCCCGATGGATGGTCTTTCTGCGTCGGTCTCCTTCACGCCGGATACGCCACTTCGTCCACTGGCATGGTTATCTCCATGTGCGAGGAGGTCAAGAAGCCCGCTACTCAGGTCCCTAAGGCACTCGTCCTCACCGTCTGCCTCAACACCCTGGCCGGTCTCCTGTTCCTTATCCCTCTCGTCTTCGTGCTCCCCGACATCACCTATTTGATCAACCTGGCTTCCGGTCAGCCCGTCCCCGCCATCGTCAAGGACGCCATGGGAACATCCGGCGGTGCCTTCGGACTCCTCTTTCCTCTCATTGTCCTGGCCATCCTTTGCGGTATCGGCTGCACCACCGCCGCCTCTCGTTGCACCTGGGCCTTCGCTCGTGATGGTGCCATCCCTGGCTCCCGCTGGTGGAAAGAGGTCCACCCCAAGCTGGACGTTCCCCTGAACGCCATGATGCTCAGCATGGTTGTCCAGATCATTCTCGGTGTCATCTACTTCGGCTCCAGCGCTGCTTTCAACGCCTTCTCCGGTGTTGGTGTCATTTGCTTGACTGCCTCGTACGCCATTCCCATCGGTATCAGTCTCTTCAACGGCCGCACCCACCTTGTCGGCAGCCCCTTCAACCTCGGCAAGTTTGGTGTCGCCGCCAACGTCATATCTCTCGGTAAGTACACCTTCCAAAACAAATTTCATCATTAGGTCCAAAGCTGACTCTTTGACAGCCTGGTCTGCTCTTGCCATGCCCTTGTTCTGCATGCCGACCTTCGTTCCTGTCACCCCCACGACCATCAACTACGCGCCCGCCGTCTTCGTCGCCGCCTGCCTCATTTCCGGTGGATGGTACTTCGCCTGGGGCAAGAAGAACTACGCCGGCCCCCCTACCAACGAGGAGCCTGCTTTCTAAGCTCTCTACACAATTGAGCTCAAGGATATCTGCGATGGTTAAAGGCCGAAATGTCTTTGAGCTTTCCAGTATCTTCGGGTCGAAAAATTAAAAGTATCGACAACATACACTTCGCAACAGTGTGCATCCGTATGGGTTTCCTGTCACACTTGGAAACAGTGAATTAGGAGCAACCCATTGGCAGCATTTTGCCAGGAGGCGCCTATGAATTATGGCGCATCGGGCAAGGATACCAACAAAAAAAAGAGAGAGAAACGAAGGCGGTCATGTACATAGGAATGATACCCCCAATGCTTAAATTCAAATTTTCAGTTACAACAACCACCTGTCGTCATTTGCTATTGTGATCTATTTCGCAAAACAGCTGCAGTCATTTGAGCACCAAACAGATTCCCATCCTCAAAATACAAACCGTTGAGGCCATTCGCAGTTACCTATCCCAAATTCGCTAAGCCTTGCCATCCAAGCGTAGAGTATTGTTGAAACACCACATCGCCGAGGTACATCCGACCAAAAGCCAATCCTCCAGCTTTCGTCTGATTAACAAAAGCCCATTGTGAAGTCTGCGCCCAGCCAAACAATCGACACTGTACTGGACTGTACGAAGTGGACAGGGACTACCCTTAGTACTCCTCCGTGCCTCCATTTCCCCCCTTTTTCGGGAGGAGATTTTCACTGCAGTATTTTCTCTCTTCTTAATGGAGTTGTTTTTCTGGGTCCCCCGTTAGAGAAGCGTTGAACTTTTCAAATTGCCAAGAACCTCTATTCCGGCCGCCTTGCACACCCGTCCGCCCCCATGGGGGCACGGGGGCAAGCCAAACCAGACTGGGATGATACAGGCGGTTTAAAGGATGGGGAGTCAGATGATCCGTGATCCTCTCTTTGTTATGCCTAATTTGGATATGATCAAGGTGAAGGTGGGAGGAGGTCCCGGAAATTTTGATCTAGTGAGAGCAGTATCGGCATTGGATGGAGTGTGTGGTGTGAAACAGTGCCTGGGTGTGGGCTCGCGCGGTCCCTCAGATACATACAATCCTTGGGTAAAGGGACCAGCAACCAACGGCGGTGACGTTGGAGCTCTTTACTCAACCAACGTCCTTTGCATACCCGGCCCCGCCCTTGGTTGCCCATTTAAACGCCGACCGCTCCTTCATGTCCAGAACGGGGTGGGGAACGCGGTCAGCGGAACTTGTCCGGTGGATTTGCCGTGTTTGATTTTTCAATGTTCGTGGCTCAGCCTGATTTTGATGTGAGGAGCTCGGGACACTCGGTGACTTGGTCACACACACACGTATGCGGACTCTCGACTCGAGGGACGGGAGTGGGATCGTAAGGAACTTGTTCATTCTTACGGCATGAAAGTCCACTCGCACGTAAAACGTCCCTTTCGCATCTTAGAGCCTTGTTTTTCTTTTTGCTTGATGTAGTCTCAAATGTGTAGACCCAGGGTCTCAGGGCTTGTCCCTGGGCAGAACGTGCTAGGTATCGATACATGGACCTGAATGTTCTTCAACGGGTCGATCCAGTGTGGCAGTCTTGAAGGGTGTTCACGGTCTGGCGAATCAGGACCGGAGGAGTCGGCGAGAGAGGGGGATGGGATGCGATGACGTCTTTCGTTCAGGTTTTCCAGAAGATTTCCGTTTCGGGGGCTTCTTTGTGTTGATCGTTTTCACCCCACTTTCTTCTCGGGATGGCAGGGCGTTGCGCTCACCTGAGTCGGTGAGGATGCCGAAGGTTCCGGGGGTTCGGTGAGATACCGTCGAAGTTGAGATCAGGCCTGGATGAGCCCTTGATTTCGCGAGCGACGAATTGAGGGCTTCACGCCTTACTATAGTGAGGGCTCTTGAATTTGCTCAGAAGTTGCCGTGCTTGGAGGTTCCAATCTCCAGTATTGGCCTAGTCGAGATACATTGGTAAGTGAGAATTTTGATGGATGGCTAGACGAATGAGAGTCGTTCTCATCTAGATTCTGATACCCAAGAACGGAATATGAGACTCCTGAATATTTGTAACTAGCTATGTACTCTGGTAAAGATATACATTCGAATGAGGCACAGATGCATGAGAGTCTTGACTGCTGTCTCAAGCAGCAGTGAACGAGTTCACCTTGATCGAGCCTCCCAACTGCTTAGTAGCAAAGTTGAAAATACCAAAGCGATACGCAATGAAGAACTCCCACCCAGAGTTCAGTTTATACGCATCACCAAGCTTAGTAAACTCAACACCATCAAAACTATAGAAAAAGTCGGCGTCCCTAGTCCCCGTCGGCCGCGCATCCAGTTCAGCCCGGAACCATATCTTGGCAGCGCCGCTCGGCACAGGTGCTGAAGCTACCTCCTTGCCTGGGTCAACGGGATTACCCGACTC